TACTACTACTACTACTACTACTACTACTACTACTACTACTACTACTAATAATAATAATAATAATAATAATAATAATAATAATAATAATAATAATAATAAATCTACCCACAACAGAAAAGACGAGTTTTAGCTTCTGTTTTTGCGTGCGTCAGTTTTCTGTAAATTTGTGAAAGATACTAATACAAGGAGCGAAACGTGATGATTAGCTACTTCATCTCTCCAACCTCCAGGCGGGATCTTCCTCTCAACAAAATCAAAATAAAATGTCCAGCAAAGTGCCAAATTTTTCTGCACACTTTAAATTTACGTTTTATCAGAATCAGAATAATCTTTATTATCATTGTACGGGGATTCAGTGAGATTATGTTCGTCCAGTCGTCAGAAAGATGGGCGGAGCGCACGTTGCTGCTGCTATAATAGCGCGGCCTCTTATTCTTTATCAAATTCTTTAGATAGAAAAAGGGAAGAACCGCGAGGATGGATAGTGATATTACAAAAAAGATCTCTGCACATCTTGTCCTATCAGGACACGATTTGAGACAAAAAAAACCCTCTACCAGCAGCTCATTTAAAAACATGATTTCATTTGACGACAAGACGTTGAGATTTGTCCATGAGCACTTCCAGAGAGGCCACAGTCCTGATGTTGTTATAGTCGGCTCGTGTCCGAGGCCAAACAGGCGAGTCAGATTCAGATAAGCCACAATTGTTGATTTTCTTCAGGCAGACTAACAAAGTCCATGCTCAATAATCCAGATATACAACCCAACAATTTTCAGTCAGGTCATCTGGATAGTTTCTTTTTGTGCTGAAACATTTCACTTTCCATCCAGAAGGCTTCATCAGTCAAGGACACACACACAACGCAAAACTGATTCTTCCCCCAAACAGCTTACTCAAAAGTGAAACAAACCAGTTATGTTGGTGCCAAGATGGTACATTTGGCACGCCCCCTCCTCCAGTGCCGGCCCTCTTCCTCATCAACAGTCAGTTTGAACCAGTTTGACATGACGAGGGAGAGGGCTGGCACAGGAGGAGGGGGCGTGCCAAAGAGACCATCTTAGCACCAACATAACAGGTTTGTTCTACTTTGGAGTAAGCTGTTGGGGGGGAAAAATCAGTTTTGTGTTGTGTGTTTCCTTGACTGATGAAGCCTTCCAGATGGAAGGTGAAACATTTCAGCACAATAAAAAAAGAAACTGTCCAGATGACCTGACTGAAAATTGTTGGACTTCAGGCAGACTGTTTTTTCTTGTCAGCCTTGAGTCCTGCTGGAACTTTCCAGATCCAAAATGGCCAAATTTATGGGCACTCCACTGATCCGTGCTATGAGTCTCCTTCAAGGTCGTCTCCAACATGCTGGCGAGTCCTAGAAGCTGCAGGTGGCCTGAGATTCTCACAAATTCCTTCCATCTTACTGTTTAGCTCATAAATCAGCTGATTTTGAGAACTCGTAGCACGAACCAAACCTTCACACAGACTCGGAAGCTTTGCCGTGGCTGAAACTGCTGCTGATGTCTTCTTCAAAAGTTGATGAAACAGAGCCCCGCCCATGCCAAAGAGCAGAACCCCTGCTAGCATAAATCCAAATATATAAACGTCTTCAGCGTCCTCCTGAGACAGAACTGAGAGACACACGAGCTGTCAAACTCCCCACGCATCCCTGACGCATTCTGCAGCGTGAGTCTCGGCAGGACATGAGGGCTCTCCAGGACTCTGTCATTTTGTTGAAAAGATTTTGTCGATTGTGTTGAAAGTCCAGCTCACCAGATCCATATTAGTGTTTTTACGTTCAGGAGATGTGTACCAGGAGCTTCAAACACCAAGAGAGCAAAAGCAGGAAGAAGGAGAACAGGGGAAGGGAGAGCAGAGGCGTCCGTCTTGAGCGAGAGTCATACCACGTCAAAGTGGTATTTATTTTAAGACTTACATTAGCCTGCAAAGACTCTGTATAAACACTTTTTTCTGTACTTCTGGTCTTTCGTTTTACCCTAAAATGTAAAAATATCAAT